CCGCCATAACCTGGTAAGCCCCGGCACAGGAAAACAATGACCAAACTGTGAATATATCAAGCCTAGCATACCAATTAAAATACAAGATCTAATACAATTTTTGGTGCTTACTGGGAGACAGTAACATCATGTGGTCCTTTCCGTGATAGCTAACCCACTACTTCGCAAGCAATAGGATGATTCAATAAAATGGCACGCTATTCTAGTAAGCCAAACCAGTCTATTCCACATTACAAACAATTTCTGGTTTTCAGTTTCCGCACATTTAACAGCCCAGGCAATATATAGGCCAAACTTGACCCATCCAAAGCACAACCAAGTTCGATTTAAATTGTGAGTCCACTGAGTATGGCACACTATTCTAGTAAGCCAAACCTTTCCCTTATATGATATGAATGATCACTGGTTTTCATTTTCAGCTCCTTTAACAGCCCAAGAAAGTTACAGCCTCCGACTTGATCTGACTTGATCTGCTCTGCTGATACACAACACACAACAAAGTTCGATTTAAATTCGTGACGGTCACCATTGCTAACAGGATGAATGGGATGAGATGAGGTGAAATTCAATAGTTGAGGGTCCAGTAGCTGTCTTCTGATACAAGGGCTCACCTGCACTTCAGTTGCAGGAGGCACGCCCACGTCCTTCGTTGGGGAGATTAGAATCATCAGATTGCGACGGAATGCACGATAAGATCAGAGAGATAGATAAGATCACGTGGGGGTGCCATATAACACATTTCTATATGGCACCCGGGGTACTGTGGCACCGGGGGGTGCCAAACAGAATTATCCCGCGTTATCGGCTGTGGGTGACATTAAAATGTTCTCGGCTCTTGTCGATGTCTCGGCTCTTGAAAAGGAAGAAGTCAGAGACACTGCCGATGCTGTTGCGGAGCTAGTTTGGGAAAAGATGGGGTGTCTTAGAATTCATTTAACGAATGGGCAGCTACCATTCGACCCATCCGTTCAAAAATAACTCAACCCGAGGAGGCTTTCAATGAGTTCGATTGGATCGCCCGGGATTTTGTCCCGGTGGCTCAGTTGGATGAGAGCCTTCGGACTGAGGTACTGTCCTGTTCACTGAGTCATTTGTTTGCATGTTACTTATTAACCACTGTTTTAATAGGAGCGTCTCAAAGTTGCTCAAAAACGCAATTCCAACGGTGAAACTGCGTTTTGCAGGCCAAACGTCGGAGGTCTCTGCACTGGCACGTCCGAAGGTGATCATTAACTTGAATGGTCAATCCAAGACTGCGGCTCCTGCTGCGGGCCATGCGACAGGTGATAAACAAGACCGGCTAGACCGCCTCCTGAACTCTCTGGATGACTTGGAGCGCCTGTTGGATTCGCTCGATGATGAGAGCAAGAACGACGATCTTGCGGACGATTTGGACGCTGTGGATCGATTCGACGGGCCAGCCTCATGGTTTGAGCCGGGCGAAACCTTGTTTGCACCAGACAAAAATTACACATTCTGTCCTGCTCCTCATCGCAGGCAAATTTTGCGCATATTTATCCGGCATTTCTGGGAACACTCCCTGCTCCCTGATTGGTCCGGAAACACGTGAACTGCCGTAGAGATCCGCAATGCTGCTGTCTTTGAGATGTACAATTTTTGTAAGCAGCGCGGACTCCGTGAAGTCTGGGGATATATGTGGGCAGCCTGGTATTGTCCCGGGCAGTACAAGCTTTGGGCGCGCGCAAGCCAGCCTGATTTTATTGGGCGCTGGTGTACAACAATGGCTGTTGAGAATTTCTGGCGCAATCTCAAGCACGGCACACTTCACCATTTCCTTCATCCCCGACTAGACCAGCTAATCTACCTCATTGCGACCGAAGTCCTGCCCTCGTTCGAGGCAAAGATGCAGCTGTTCGATCCGGATTATCGGCGAGGGCGCCCAATGCCTCTCACTCCATTCCAGAGGCAGTTCAAGAAGGGGTGGAAGATGCTCGCATCCCGCACTCTTGGTACTGGTGAATATCAGACCAAAATTTCCCACTGGACTTTTACGTGTGGGCAGCAGAAGTATAATGCTTTGCTTCTATGCAAACACTTGGTTCAATCAGTCCACCCTCCCGAACCAGCTTTTTTTTGGGAAGTAGTTCGCCGCCGAGTCATTCCATTCTATCACCACCCGCTTCTCAAACCCAAGGATGGCTCCACAGTTGACTCGATCGACGGAGATGGATCTGTTTCAGATGGGGATGCAGTTGCACTAACTGGCTCGCACTCGCCGGGTGGGCCGAGCGGATCCGCTGATCCCACAACGAGAGGAGTTAAGCGCAAACAAGCATCCACTCAAAACAATGGCCGCTCTCTGACACTGGTAGCTGCACAATCCACAAGTCATGGTGGATCTGGAGGTGCGGATGACCCTTTCACGCTCCCATCTTCACCAATTTGTGCTGATGAATACGAGGATGTAAGTTTTCCTGTTCAGGTATTATCTTTCAACTTATGAAACTTATGTACTCTCTTCCCTTGCACAGGACGCTGCTGAAGCTCAAGAATTCATCAAAAAACGGATTGCAGAACTTCAGGATGGAATCAAGATTCTGCAGGGACAACTTGAGAGTCCTGGGCAGTCCAAAATCTGGCTCAAGTCAATGAAGAGTCGAAATATTGGTCAAGATGTTGCGCATATGGTGAATGATGTTCGTCATTGTACTCAAACAGGAACAATGCGTCCAACCACATGGGCCAAAGCTGGTAATAAAGCCTCTACCAGATACACACAAAATATGATGGGTTATCATACACAGTAATGTAGTCTTTGTTCCAAAATATACTTGCAATTTGGCTCACACTTCGAGCTTCTTCGGCACCTTTATCAAGTCGTAGATCAATATCCATGTTTATAGCCATGCATCGGTGAAGCTCAACCTGTTCCAAAATAATTTTGTATTGTTCAGTAGCATACAATGAATGCATCCATACTTTTTTTTGGAGCATAGTATGCAAAGTTGGCTCCCCTACCTTAAACGATGCGAGATCAACACTTAGTAAGCACACCAACTTCCGGAAATGTGCCGTATTACTTATGTCAAAGCTGCTAGGAAAAGCCACTTTCTTAATATGAATTGATTTGTTGTGCATTCATACCACATTCTTCTACAGGAGACTGTATCACTAGCTGTACTAGTAGAGGTTTACTTGCGCTCGCAGAAGTCCCTCCGATCACTCGGAGGCGCTTTGACAGTTGCCATCACGGCCATCACCATGGCACGTGTTGCGACACACCGTTGGGTCAATAGCGTTTTCTTGATGGACCTGGGTCGCGTCGTCCGCCCTCGAGTACCATCGCCCGCGCCATCCAATTCCTTCGTCCTCGCCCCCCCGTGGCTCTCATTCACCATTCACTTTTCTTTTCGTTCTCTCCTTCTTCAGCGTTCTGCACTGTCTTTCACCGCGCAACGTCCACTTGTCGCGTCGTTAACCATTGACACGACACGCTCATGGCCCCCATCCTCTCCATCGCCTCCACCCCACGTCGTCGCTATCCCCGTCATCCCTGCGTCACGCGTCCATATCCACCCGCATTGCAGTGCTTTTTCTCCCTCATTCCTTCCCGCACCTCGTTCTCACCTTCTGTGTCTTTGCCCGTCCGAGTCATCGCTCGATCGCCCCGCGTCCACTTACTATCCATGCGCACGTCCCCTCCTCGCATCCACGCGCCCGTACCCCCTCGCCTCGCAGCGTCCCCTTCCTCGCCTCCCCACATCCTAATCATCCTGGTGCGCTCTCCCTTCACACCCCGCCGCTTCTCTTCCTCCCACCCCTCTCTTTCTTTCCGATCCTCCCTCGCCCTCGCCCTCGCCTCTCTTCCTTCTCTTACCGCACATGCCCCTTCTCCTCCCTCCCTCCCTCTCCTCTCCTCCGACCGTCCGCTCTCTCCGCCTTCTTTCCCCACCTCGGTCCTCGGTCATGTCTACGTCCGCCATCAACATCGCCATCGCATCCCGCCGCGCATCCCGTCCGCCGCATCAACGCCCACCACCCGCCCGTGTCCCACCTCCCGCCCGCCCTCCATCCACCCAACCCTGCGCGCTCCCAGCCGCCGCAGCCACCCCTCCGCGCACCGTTACCCGTCCTGTCCCGTCCCTCCGCGCTAGTGCGCGCGCGTCGTATCCGCCCGCTGTCTCTCCTTCCCCATCCCCATATCCAAGCTCAGGGCCCGCGAATCCCATTCACGCACATCGAATCCTCGCGTTCACAGCTCCAAGTTCCGAATCCCCGCCTAGCTCGATTCAAGGCTCGCCTCACCGCCCGCGCAAACTCGAGGCTCGCGCCCGCGCGCGGCTGCGTCCGCAGCTCCGGGTCGATTCTGAATCTCGACTTCTCCAACTTCCGTACAAGCATATCCGAAATCCAAGTCTCGAATCTGAATGCCCGCGCTCGCAAATGCACATTCATGTCTACATCCTTGTGATCTCAAATCCAGTGCATCTCGACTCCGCGCGTCTCGCAACTCCGCATCACGTCCCGTCTTGACTCCGCATCAGGGCCCAGCCGTTCTCAAATCGGCGCGCATCGAGATACCAGATGCGTATCCCCGCGGTCGCAAGTGCAGGTCCGAGTCCGCGCGCTCGCAAATTTGTCCCCGTCCTTCTCAAATCGCCGCGCTCGCAAACCCAAGATCCGGCCGATGTGCATCGCCTCCGAGCACGAACGCGAACGAGGGCGAGCGGGGGTTTGGTTTTGTGATTCCGGGATGTGTGCGTCGGGCGGGCGGTAGGTGCGAGGTAGGGAGGGAGAGGTGCGGGCAAGGCGAACTGGCGGCGGAGGGAGGCGCGAGGTGTCGCGAGGTGCAAGTGCATCGCCTGTTATTAGTTTTTTCTTTTCAAAAAATGGATATTGGTTGAATGCACCGAGTGAATTCCGAGCGGGGTTCCTGTTCTGAGCAGTCTTTCTTCGTGATCGAGGTGGGGTAATATCGCCGCGTGTGATGAGTAGGAATGGAAAATAACAAAAGAAAAAAAAAGCTTTTGTCCCGAGCATTCAGACACAGGGATTCGAACCCTGGAATACCTCTGTAAGTTCAAGAGATGCAAGTGAGAAGAAGAGGCTGCGTTCCCACTACGCCATGTCCAAATTCCTTCTTGAAACATCAGGAGAGTTTTATCAGCTTGTTTGAGTATTGGCAGACTAGTAGAGCCTGAGCGGGGTTCTTGTTTTTTAGACATTCGAATTCGGAGGCGCGAACGTGAATGTTCGACTTGATTTGGATCTTCAAGCTTCGATTTCGAAGGCGAGACAAATGAAAAGGAAAAGGAAAAAATCAAGTGGCCGAACGTCCTACATTCAGACACAGGGAGTTAAACCCTGGACTGCCTCTCAATTCTTGCTCGACGATGCCTAGAACAAGAGGCTGTGCTCCTATTACACCATGTCTGAGTTGCTTTTCAGTACATCCAGCTAGCTTTATGAGCTCGTTTGAGTATGGGTGTTCGAATAATTGTAGACAGAGCGGGGTTCTCGTTTCTTGGTGCTGTGGATATTCAACCCTCAGCAGCAGGTTCAACCGGACGTTCCGCGCGGGGCTGTGAGAAAATGAAATCAACGACAAAAACACATCGAAATACTATTCAGACACAGGGATTCGAACCCCGGACTGCCTCCCAATTTTTACTCAATACCTCCCAGAATAGGAGGCCGTGTTCTTATGTCTGAGTTCCTTTCTTGTGTGTGTGGGTTGGTTTTATGAGCTCGTTCAAGAAAAAGTCGGGAAGATGAAGTTCAGTTGGCGAAGTCGGAATTCTTCCCGCTCCCCACTGACCACTCACCCGGCGCCTCGGGCTGGTAGTAGTACTGCGTGCTGTTCGGCTTGAATTATTTATTGCCATGCTACGCTCGCGCTTCACATTCATGTATTCATTAGCTCGGACAATCCTGGAATTTTCGATATGCATACGATCCGATTCAAGCTACCCAGTGACCTCGCTCCGTGAATGACCTACATGAGTTGGCGTTGTTTGGCTCTACGTGAAGACGCGCCAGCATCACATGGACTTCTTCATTCCTTCCCTTCCCGCTCCCTTTTCGTGCATCGTGTCCCGCTCTCGCGTCCGTCGCCCCGACATCCCACATCGCTCGTCCCATCTCGCCATTCCCCGCCCCACCCCACGTTTACCCCCCTCCTCTCGTACTTCGCACCCACCGCGTTCTGCTCCCCCACCATCTCAATTGCATATTTTGCACACTGCGCGCATCGCCTACCGTCACTTCTCCGCTCTATCACCTCCGCGCGGACCGCCCCACGCACCTCCTCAACTATCCCTCCCACTCTTGCGTCTGCATCTTGCCCATGGCGCTCTCCCCGCTGCCTTCCTCCTTCCCTTTCGCGCCTCTTCCTCCCCTCCGCCCCTCCGCCCCCATCTTTTTCGCGTATCTCGACTCGCGCGATCGCCTCACACCAAGCGCGTATCCCTTGACCCGTTCCCCCCTCATTCCCGTGCGAGGATACAGTCTCAGTCGCTTTGCTTGGATGATTGACTGTTTTAAACAAATCTAGCATGAATTTCTTTTAAAGGTGTTGTCGGGAGAGTGGGATTTTGAGTACTTCCAAGCGTGTGTACGTCCTTAGGCTTATCAATTCGATTCCAGGTCGGAGTCGACCTTCGCGCTGAACCGAGCCACTGCTATACTGTCTGCGCCCAACCTTCGCTCCAAACTCCGCCCGCCTCCCGAAAAGTCCGATTCAATTCAAATATCCAAGCTATGGTAGATGCAACCAAGGTGCTTTCCCTCCTCCTTCGCCGCCATATTCAATCTTCTTACCGTGCACATCAATTGGGATCTTTGGTCGCCTTTTTGGCACGGTGAAACATCTTTGAAACCATTTGGAGGATGGTAATATCATCTTCAGATGCCCATAGCTCAGACAGGCCCCACATCACGAGCAGAATCAGGACTAGTACAACCCCGGTAGCGGCGATGACACCGAACGCCACATTGTTGACATGCCCGTTCGTCTCCGTGTCGAGGATGTTGAACGCCAGTATTCCGACCAAGAACGAGATGAGCGCCCATACCAAGAGCGTCATTGGCGCCCCGAGAAAAAACGCGACCTGGTTGTGCGTAAACGCATAGTGGCTGTAGCGGAACTGCGCGTCGAAACGTCACTACTAATAAACAAGCAGGAACTGGGATGCGCCCACGTACGCGAATTCTGTTACTTTGGCGCTCATTCGAATCTGAGGGTTCCTCCAGCCGCAGTTGATACTTGGAGATGCAGTACAGGCCCGCAGTGGTCGCGCCGAATGAAGCAATGATGGAAACCAGCATCGCTGTACGTGCGATGGGGCCCAAATTCGGCAGAGCAAGGCTCCCCGCCGACGCCCTTGTCGCTTAGTGAATAGGGCGACAAACTGTGCGGAGAATGAAGTACGTACGTGAGGAGGACCGTAGACTGCAGGGTCGCTGACTGTTAGGCCACCTAAATCTTTCGGGGAAACGTGTAAACACATACAATAAGGTTGAATTCCTCCCATTCTCTAACCAAACGCACTATGTGGCTCCGCCACTCCTCGTCGGAGGAAAGCACCTTGTGCGGCTCGTCCAAGCGACCCAGATACCTTGAAAAGGCCCCACAGCTCGCGAAATTTAATACTCGCAACCAGAAATCTACAGCCGGGGTCGAGGTTGTCAGCTCGTCCAGCCCCGCCGCCGCGGCCGCCAGTGCCTGCTGGCCATCTAGTCGGCAGGGATTAGCACACGCCTAGGAGGAGACTCGGAGGGTGTGTACATTTCGCTGCTAATACCTTCGCGACAAGCGATAGCCACAGCTTGCGACTCTCCACCGCCGGACTCTCCACATCCGGTATTTCACGGCGGAGCTGCAGCTTGTATTGGTCCTTCGTCGCGGCTATCCTTTCCATACCATTCTTCTCCGCCTCCTCTGCTTGACTGCTGCTAGTTTCCGAAACGGGAGTCATTTGGATCGCCGTAGGTTCAGGGAGGTTCTGTTCCCCCCAAGCGCTCACTGGTGATGGCTGTACCCAGTGCGCTGAGTCTGGCTGTGCCGCCTCCCCCGGCTGCTCTGGATTCTCCAGCTGCTCCGACTGCTCCAGCTGCTCCGACTGCTCCAGCTGCTCCGACTGCTCCAGCTGCTCCAACTGCTCCAGCTGCCCCGGTTTCTCTACGCCCGCCGACTCGAAAGGAGTCTGAAATGCTGATGGATGGAAAGGAGGCAGAGCACAGAGCGACTCCAATATGCCCGCGAGATCCTGGCTGTGCTTGTACGGGAATGGTACGTCGGGACCATCCGACTCGGAAGTCAGCAGTGCCTCTGGAATTAATAGCTAGTCAGCCGGCAACTGCGGTACAGAAAGATTGCGACAGAGCGCACGAGATGAGCACCACTTCAAATATGTCAGCGCTAGACTATGGGCACTGCATAGGTCTGCGATCGTGTGGGGTGTGTGCGCCGGATGGCTAGCTATGTATTTCCAGTAATCTCGTCGCATCTGGGGGATGTCAGCGGCCTGCGTGTCCGTGTCCATGCTCTTCTCCCTCGTGTCCGATCTCGGGCGTGGCTTGAACGAGATCTGATTTTTATGTGAAATTATCGAATACGTGTCGTCCGAAGCAACGTAAAGGTCTTCGCGAGGAATGCGCAGTTCGACCTTGTCTTTAAAGATTGTTGTAGCAGTTGTTCTCTGCGAAAAGCTAGCCACAACGAGAACTGGCTGGTCCGCGGTAGCTTGAGGCTCCGCTTTCACATAGTACTCGGAACCGTCTGGTGTTGGGTGTTTCTTCCAGCTGTGTTTGAAAGCGTTAAACGTTCAGGTTGAATTTCAAAAGATGAACGAGTACCCTTCAGACCAGTCGACGGGGGTGGGCAATGCCATGAAGGTCAGTGGTCGGCTGTGATCGGTCGGCACTCTAAAGCCTTGTTCTCGCTTTCCATTGATCATCACCCTAACTCTAACCTCTTGTAGCGGGACGGCACGCCGGGCACGGCAGATACCCGGAGTTAGGGCAAGCGTAGCGCGCCCTAACTCCTCGACAACGGAGGATAAGTGTTTCCAACGGCGTGATTCATCTCAGGATTAATTCAGGGACAATGAGGGTGGTTGTGGTGAGCCTCGGCATCGAGGGAGCTTCAAGTGTAGACCCTCAGATTTCGAAAAAAACAAGAGCTTACCTTAGTGTCTTCTGCTAATTGCAGGACTAGACTTGCCAGTGACACTGTTGAGCCTCCGCTCCAGTTTAACACCCGTCGATCGAAGCGCCCCTGTCCTTTCTGATCCGTCCGGGATCTTCACAGGAACTTTGATTGACGGCGGCATTTCCGGAATTGCTCACGCTGATCACATTCGGTAAAACCTTCGCGTATGCTAGCGCCCAGGTATTAAGTGACAGCGCTGAAAAGCAGAACTCTGTTAGTTGCACGTCGAGACCCTCCCAGGACTCCGGAATACTACATTGGCGCGTTTGTTGTGGGTGAACCCCATCAAAAAACATTGATCTAGTATAAAAGGGGTAACACCACCTGATGAGTCCCTTTGACGAAACGTTGCCAACAACGTCGTGGCCCCCGTCTCTCAAATCTTCATTCTAGCATCCCCCGGCACCCCCAGTCGCTCGGCGCTTCGCGCCTCCCTCGCTCCGATAATTCAACCCTATGAACGGTCAAAACGATTCGCTATGCGCTACCAGTGCCGTTGTGGGATCCGGATTCCCATAAGCCCTGCTCCAACCGGGTTTGTGTGCTTTGGGTAGACAAGGAGACAAGCTTTGAGTTGCTCGAGAGCGAGGTTGTACTGAGGTGTGGGTGCAAAGCCGTGTCGAGCCCCGTCGTCCATGCTGGTTATAGTACTAGGATTGGGTTGATGTGCAATGGTGGCAGCCAAGTGGCAGCTAAGCATCGACTCAGCCGAAGATGCCGCAGCGGGCCGATCACTATCTCGATACAAACACGACCACATGTTTTGGCAACACGTTCGATTCACGTGTTCTCACCGCGTTCTCCGACTAAGTATTGGAGCCCATTTATTGCGGTCGATCTCCCATGCCCAATATTTAGGCGAAATAATCGCGCCTTTATTCGACCGCAGAATCCTCGACTGTTGTCCGTATCGGTGAATGGT